AATCGACTAGCTACCTTGGGTGCCTGTACATGAACGCATGGAGCCTGGGAAACAAGCAGGAGAAACTGGAAGTCCTCACACACTCACAGATCTATGACTTGATTGGGATAACAGAGACTGGGTGGGAGCTCGCATGACTGGAGCACTGTCATGGATGGGTTCAAACTGTTCAGGAAGGACAGGCAGGGGAGAAGAGGAGGAGGAGTTGTGCTGTATGTAAAAGAGCTGTGTGATTGCTCAGACCTCCAGTATGACACTGGAGACAGAGCTGTTGAAAGACTCTGGGTTAGGGTCAGTGGGGAGAGCAACAAGGGTGATGGCGTGGTGGAGGTTGGCTATAGACCACCAGACCGAGAGAAAGTGGTGGATGAGGCTTTCTTCAAAGAGCTAGCAGAAGTTTCCCAATCACAAGTCCTGGTTCTCATGGGGGATTTCAATCACCCAGACATCTGCTGGGAGGTCAACACAGCAGTGCACAGGCAATCTAGGAAGTTTTTGGAGAGTGCTGGGGACAACTTCCTGGTGCAAGTGTTGGAGTAGCCAACTAGGGGCCATGCTTTTTTCAACCAGCTGCTCACAAACAGAGAAGAATTGGTGGGGAATGTAATAGCAGACGGCAACTTGGGCAGCAGCAACCACAAGTTGATTGAGTTCAGGATCTTGAGGAAAGGAAGGAAGGAGGGCAGCAGAGTAAGGACCCTGGACTTCAGAAAAGCAGATTTCGACTTACTCAGGGAACTCATCGGCAGGATCCCCAGGGAAGCCAGGCTGAGGGGGAGAAGAGTCCAGGAGAGCTCGCTGCACTTCAAAGAAGCCTGACTGAGAGTGCAGAAACAAACCATCCTGATGCGCAGGAAGACTAGCAAGTACGGCAGAAGACCAGCTTGGCTTAGCAGGGAACTCTTCAGTAAACTAAATCACAAAAAGGAAGCCTATAAGAAGTGGAAACTTGGACAAAACTAGGGAGGAATATAAGCAGGACCAAAGAGCAATTGGAGTTACAGCTAGCAAGGGATGTGAAGGGTAACAAGAAGGGTTTCTACAAGTATGTCGGTAGCAAAAGGAAGATCAGGGAAAGTGCAGGTCCCGTACTTAATGAGGGAGGCAGCCTTGGGACAGAGGATGCAGAAAAGGCTGAAGTGCTCAATGCCTTCTTAACCTCAGTCTTCACAGGTAAGGTCAGCTCCCAGACTGCTGAACTGGGTAGCACAGTTGGGGAGGAGGTGAGCAACCCTCAGTGGTGAAGGAACAGGATAGGGACTATTTAGAAAAAGCTAGATGTGTACAAGTCCGTGGGGTTGGATGCGATGCACCTGAGGATGCTGAGGGAGTTCACTGATGAGATTGCAGAGCCACTGGCCATCATCTTTGACAACTCACGGTGATCAGGAATGGTCATGGATTACTGCCCATATTTTCGAAAGGGAAGGAAGAGGATCCAGGGAACTACAGACCAGTCAGCTTCACGTCAGTCCCTGGAAAATCATGGAGCGAGTCCTCAAGGAATCCATTTCTAAGCACTTGGAGGGGAAGGCGGCAATTCAGAACGGTCAGGATGGATTCACCAAGGGCAAGTCATGCCTGACCAACCTGATTGCTTTCTATGATGAGGTGGATGCAGGGAGACCAGTGGATGTGGTGTGGCTTGGTTTTAGCAAGACTTTTGGTACGGTCTCCCACAACATTCTTGCAAACAAGCTAACGAAGTATGGGCTGGATGAATGGACTGTAAGGTGGATAGAAAACTGGCTGGAGCATCAGGCTCAGAGGGTAGTAATCAATGTCTTGATGTCTAGTTGGCAGCCGGTATCAAGTGATGCACTCCAGGGGCCAGTCCTGGTGCCAGTTTTGTTCAACGTCTTCATCAACAACTTGGAAGATGGCATAGAGGGCACCCTCAGCAAGTCTGCAGATGACATCACGTTGGGGGGAGTAACAGATACACTGGAGGGCAGGGCTAGGATTCAGGGTGACCCAGACAAATTGGAGGATTGGGCCAAAAGGAATCTCATGAGGTTCAGCAAGGACAAGTGCAAAGTCCTGTGCTTAGGACAGAACAATCCCATGCCCGGTACAGGCTGGGGTGCGAGCATAATAGAGACAAAAACAAACAGGGTAATGTCTGTAAAAATCAATCCAGACCAGCAGCAAAATACTCACACATCTCGTCACAGGCACTCTGAGTCCAGGGCCCTATCCACTTAGCTATCCCTCCATCCTGTCAGTTCAAACTCTCCAACAGGGACCATACTTCATCTGTGATTATAAATTCCCTTGTAGATTTGCAGGCCTACATAAACCCAATTCTTCTTATATGCCTAACTTCCACTAATAAAAAAAAAAAAAGTATTCACCAGCAGATGCCACCGTTCAGTGTTTACCAAGGTTTAGCTGTTAGCATTTTAAGTTTTAATATTAAATATATGCATTGCTGAGATGTGCCTGTTCTTCAAACCAAGTAACCACATAATCCTGCCATGGTCTTTATTTTCCCTTGAGGCTTTTCTCCTCCTTGTCTCTCAATTACTCCTACTCATCACCTCAGATCTAAAACTAAGAACCATTTCTGCAAAAACTTATTCTTTCTTGCTCATGTAAACAGTTGCGTTGAATTCAGAGGAACGACTTATGCAAATGTAACATGGGATCAAATATTAGACTTTGTTTTAACTGAGCTGTAAAGAATTTTGCATACTTCCAGGTAGAAGAAATGTAATGATAAATATGGGACCCATGTCTGAGAAAAGCCAGTTTATAGCTCTTTAGAAACATGGGACTGGAATAAATTCTTAGCAGGGGGCTTTGCCAGTGATCACTTGATAATTCTCAACATCCAGAACTCAACTATGGCTCCATTCTGCATTTCTGGAGAGCATATCAATGGGCTGTCATCTGTTTCAAAGCTATTCTGTGTAGAAGTTTTTTTCTTGAACCATACAGAGTCTTTGGGGACTGTGAACCAATGCGTCAAAAATTATTATTGACCGATAAAAGGGATTTCTGTGAATTGAAACATGATGCAATGTTTTGTGGATGCAAAGTTGTCCATACGCATGCTATCTTTAGTGTTATGTGCTAGTAGTTCCTCTGAAAATGTTCTCTGAGCTCCTGTATGGTCTCTGAGATGAAAGGATATTATTGTGTCCATCTCCATCTGACTTGCATAGGGTCTCATGTTATCTCACTCCCCTTTAAATAGATCACCCGGCTATGCTTTATAATTGGCTCTGAGACTAACGCATCTAACACTTCACAATAACAGATGCTTAAAAGGCTGCATGTACACATGGTTTGATTTACTGGAACACAAAAATGTCTCCACAAAACTAATTCCTCAGATTACACCCCTTGGAATACAGGTCAAGGAGCTGAACTGCACTGAAAAAAACCCAACCTTGCTGTGAGAAATGGAGACCTGGCCCCTGTTAGCAACATCCAAATTGGATCTGCTTCACTCTCTGGGGAGTTAGGAAAGAGCTTTAGGTCAAGATCGAAAGCAACTGGAAACTCCTTCAACGATGAGACCTCATTAACACAGCACAGCCATGCGCATGGAGGTGTGTGTGATGGGGAGGCAGGGGGTTGAAACCTGGGACTAGTCCTCAGCTGCTTCACAGTGTCTGAGATGAGCCATCAGCGGAGTCATGGCTGTTTATACCAGCTGAGGGTCTGCCCCTTGGCTCTCAGGAAAATACAATGTCGAGGATCTGCATCTCTCCTAATGGGTAGGGATGATGGCAGGGCAGGACACTAAGAAGAGCTGGAATTAGCTTCAGTCTTATGTAGCTGAAGGGAAAAAGAGGAGGGACAAGCACTTTCTGTTCCCGCATAACAAGCTTATTTTGCTGGCCTGCTTTTTGAACCTTTTGATTTCCCCCTCTGCAAGTTAATATTGAATAGTTTTACAGCAACCTGATGACACAAAGCAGCCATTCCAGATCCACTGCTTAGGTGGGACACAGACTCAGTGTCTGCTTCCACACCAGCCACGCTCTAATTCTTAGGTACTTTTGTTGCCCCAGCAAAAATGAGCCCTAAACTTCTGTGAACCTGTGAGACCTCCACTGGTTCAAATTAACAAGGCAGTGAACCTTGCCATAGTCCTGATGTCATAAATACAATCTGATTCCAGAACTGGTAGTAAAATACTTAATGTGAGCAGCAAAATTAGCTTTCAACACATGCAGCTCTGCATAAACACATCCCCTCCCCACCAAGACATCTGCAGGAACAGAATCTAAGTTACAGCTGGAGGAAACTAAGTAGAGAAAGCCCCCCCTCCCTGCACTACCTTGTTTTCCTCCCTCAAAACAAAAGCCATAAAACACAAGGGTACAGACTTTGCCAGGTTATACCGGCCACTTATTCATGATCTTTTTTCTTAACCAAAAAACAACAGGGGGAAAAAACAGACGTAAGCTGGGAGGCAAGGCCGTATCCCTGACCAACCACCCAGGGCCCTGCTCTGCCTGCTGCTTTCCTCAAAGCCATCAGGAGGGACATGCTGCTTACGGCAGTAACTTCTGATCAGCTGCAAAGAAATCTATTGGGAGTTGCTTCCTTCGCTCTCTTCTTCCTGCGTGTTGTGGTATGCAGCAGTAATGGTGCAATTTTAGTTCACCGACACACTCTCTACAGTAATAGATGTTGTGTATGGGAAGAGCAGCAATGGATATGCATTCTCCTTGGAGCACACACCTGTTTCCTGACTCTTATTTTAGTGGTGGACGGAGACTAAAGGAACAGCAGGCAGGCAGCTGAGATGGGTTTGAGAAAAGTAAAATTCTGAGATGAAAAGTAAAATCCAATTCATTGCTTCAGTTTTGGTATTTTAAGGAAAAAAAGGCAGATGGAAAGATCTGGGTTGTAGACTGTGCCCGAATCGCACAAAAAATGGGTCGGGAGATATTTATAGGCTTCAAAGAAAATAGTGACTTTACAATGCATCTGGTAACTAAGATTCAAGAATCAACATGAACACTGAGTTGTTTCTTTCTTACCATCATGGCCCGAGTTGAGGAGATGCTCTCCCAGGTCACAGCCAAACACTCTCTCCTTCAGGATCCCGCGCTGTTTCAGTTTCTGCTTTGTTGGGCGAGACTTCATGAAGGTACGCAGGAAGGTGATGAGCTTGCCGTGCTTTTTTGACACTGCACAATAAAACAAAACCACCGTATGTTACATCCAGCGTAACTGGGGGACACAATGCAGCTGAGTGCAGGAGGCTGGGACAAACACCAATATTGATTATTTATGCAAGCAAATGCTCTCAATCCCAACATTAAACAAAGACTCTTCAGTATTTGGGCCAAGGCAGGTACGAAAGGCTGTAACAGAAGAACCTGATTTAAAGAGGTATTAATTTGCAGTGCATCTATTGCAGGAAATGTACAGAAATCGCTGCCATTCGGTACACTGACAGGCAGCACCCGAGAGCTGCAAATTGTATGCTACCCCTGGCAGAAAGCAAAATAATCTGCTCCCACGTCCAAGACGACACAGTGCATGATCCCATAAAGGGTCGCAGATGCTTTGCTATCGATTTCTGTGGGTGTGGATTAGGGCTCCCAGGCAGCAACCTATGGCTTAATAATGTTTGATTGCCTTCAATAATGTTTGTACAACATCTAGAAGATGGAAAGCTTTATATGGATGAAGGGCCTGCTTTTCAGAGCACCTGCAGTGTCCCTGGACTTCATGTGCAAGTGTGGGTGCTTGGCACTCCTGGAGCCTGAGCTCTAAGCATTATTAGCTTCCTCAGTTCCTTTCAGCTGCTTGTCAGGTAGGTGAATTGCTATCCTTATTCAAAGGATGGAAAACTGGAACACAAGAACTGGCACAAGAGGTTGCCCCCTCCAAAAGGCCACCGAATGAATCAATGGCAAAGACAAGAATAGAACCCGTGAGTCCTGGACTCCTAACCTCCTGTTCCTAGACAAAGCCAACAAAGCTGTTTCTTTGTATTTCGTTATCAAGCTGAGAAAAGACCTTCCAAGTCCACTAAGGAATGCAATCTACAATCAGTTCAATGGAGATTTGCACAGATAACTGCCATTCTGGAGGAGACAAGAAGCGAGAGCTACACAAACAGCTTGCATGTAAATAGGAGTAGCAGACCTAGCATACATTTGAATCAGAAAGCAAGACAATGATCTTCAATATCAACTTTTCTTTCCGAGACACCCCTCCAAAAGCAATAAAGTAGCACAAAAGAATGCTCTTCCTAACAAAAGTGCCATTGTACATGTGATTTAAAAGCAATTTGGCTTCAAGAAGAGTTCTATTTTTTTTAAAAGGAAGAAAAAATCTGAATCACCAGGTATAAAAGGACTTGTTTTGTCAAGGAGCCTTTATAGTACCATGAAGTTATAAAGGTCCCTGCAGCAGTATGCTGCAATACTAGCAATCAGATTAACCACCTTCCTCAAACACCAGGGAGCTGCGACACCTATAGTTCACCTGATTTTGAACTCTTAACTATAGTAATCAGAATTTAGGAGAGATGTCAACCGAAACAGAAAAAAGGCAACACAGGTACCCATGGACAAAGGCATATTTTTCTCCGAGGGCTGTTACTGCTCTGTAATATTGCACTTAAATTTTATATTTCTTGAGCTGCTTTGGAATTTGGGATTCTGCAAACAGAAGGGTGATTGCAGCAAAGCTTCTTAAGGGGAGGTGACTTTTCTTCCTCTTTGTCAATTAGCTATCATGAAAAACCTTATCCCAGAAGTAAAGAACTGCCACCACTATACTTAGGAAAAAAATTATAGTAGTTTTATGCTTCCGCCCCTTCCTTCCCCCCCAAAAGGCTCCAGGCAGCTTACAGTAATAAAAGTCATAAAAGCAGATTAAACAAATAATAAAACAATTCTCCAAGTAATACCCCAAAACTTAGTCTCACCTGCTAACAGCCAGATCAAATAAGGGTTTATACGGCCTACTCTACCCTCTGCAATAGCAATGGACCTTCCTTCTCTTGCTGAATATTGACACACTCCCTCTGCTCATCACAGACCAAAGCTAAAACCCGCTGCAATCAGTGGAAGGTTTTATTTCTCAAGGGTAGGACTGTCCCCAGGACTTTTTCCTACCTCTAGTTGTACTCCATCGTCAGCAAAGTTCTGTCTTTTTATTATGAAGCACTACAGTATCAACTTCATCACATTTGTCAGGTGGTTTGCTGGGGGTTTTTTTGGATCTCCTAGCTAAAGTTACCTCCACAACTAAATGTATTTGAAAGATTAGAGAAAAAATATTTTTTCCTCTCATTTCTTTTCCTGTTCGACTCCCCAGAGCACAGCGAGTCAGACTGGGTGTAGGCTAGTGACTGCAAAGAAGAGGCTGGGACCTCAGTTTTCTGTCATTGTACTTTCCCCTCCATCCAGGAAAAACAAATCAGCAGGGATCCTCGTTTCCTTGGTTTTAAAAAAAAAAAATCAAAAAAAAATAATCACAAATTCTCTAATTTAAAAACCCCAAATCCATGAT